TCAGGCATGTAAAACTGTAAGCAGAGGATTTGGTTTGTGCCAATACCCAGGTGAAGCCAAAACTGTCCTATCAGGAAAATACTTGGGAATGCAATGTACCTGATTATAACAGCACTGTGCATTCTTTTGCTTTTTTTTTTTTTTAAAGATTTATTTATTTATTTATACAAGCACTGGGTACAGTCAGAAGTGCGGGAGGGTGAGAGAATTCACCAGAGCCAGAGCAGGGAGCAGAGCAGGCAGAAGGACCGAAGTACACTGCTGAGGGGAGCAGCGGGCGGCAGGAGAGGTCTGCGCGCCATGTGGGACCCTCCTCCGGTGGCCGGGAAGCAGCCGGGGATCAAACCGGCGCTGCCGAGGCTGCGGGCAGCTTCGCAACCCAGCGCTCAATCGCTGCACCACCGGGGAGGCCCTGCTTTTTTTTTTTTTTAATGAAAATCTCACAACATAGAGTCCCTGTGTTTATAGGGCCCAACTATGTAGTAGGAGTGCAGAGAATGTATATGTCTGAGATAGCATGCACAGACAGACAAGCAACTGTCACTAATATAACAGTAATTTGCATCAACCATGCCATGGAAAGACTGAACTATCTGTCCTCGAGAAAATGGTACTACAAAACCACTGTTACATAAAGGAGCAATGAAAAATTATGCAGACAAAATTATAGGAGAAAATTATTACAGAGAAGTGGCAGGCAAGTAACAAATAAAATTCTTGCTATTTTTTATTTTCTTATTCATATGGTATTCATCATTCATGTTGTAATTTGTTATAACTCATTTTGAAAAAATTCATATTTGCACCTAATTTGTTTCTATAATAGAGGGCTTCCAAAATTGCATAAATGTCAAACCCCACAAAAATTAGCACCCACACAGAGTTTGCAATCAAGAGAAGGTGAGCCTGTAAACATGCAAAAACTGATGTGCTACATACACAAAAATACCACTATACTGATTTATAAAAGCCTTTCATAAGCAGAGGGCAGTAAGGAGACTGTGGTTGGTTGGAGTTGTCAGAAAGCTCCAGAGAAGGCTGAATTTGAAGTGGCCAGTGAAGGACCAGTAAAATGTTGACTCACTTATTAATATGCCCTGCGATGGGTTTAGTAAATATTGCATGGAGTCCTTGCTCTAAGAGCAGATAGTGCCTTTCACTGGGGGGGTCACTGAGAAGTTAGCTCATGGTCCCCCTCATTTATTCCTTTAACATACTCCACAGCTCACCAGTGAGCATTCGCTCCATGCAGGGCACTGGAAATGCCACCTGAACAAGCAAGAGTCTTAAGAGCAGAGGAAGAGCAGGGGCAAAGCTTCCAGAAGAGGAGACCTACAATGTCCCTGAGAACAGCTCTTCAGGGCTTGTCCCTGAGGAAGATGACTACTTCTGAGAAAAAAGTCTCACCTTAAACACTTGGAAATAAGCCTGGAGAGTGACAACAGGAACTTCATAAAGATGAAAATGGAGGTGGGCGCCTAACTGACTTTAGAGGGGATTGTGATAAATCTCAGGTGTGCTTTTTTTCTGACAAAATGAGGATTTGTGAAATCCCAGATGACCTAGAAGCAAAGAAAAAATGTTTGATTTGAGTCCGTATGAAAATTTTGCTCTGATAATTATAATATCCTGTTATAGAAATGGAGAGGAAAATGTCAGATCTATTCATTCATTCAAGCACACACCTCTCAGACATCAGGGTATTCAATCTGTATCAACTGTGTCAGATAATACAGATCAAAAAAAGAAGAGGGCGAAAAATTCTCTGCTGTTTATTTTCCAGCCACTCTAAATTTAAAGGGGGACAGCCTTGTAATGACGACATGGGGGGGGCGGGGTAGAAGGAGGCAGACATTTAGCCTTTTATTGAGGTCTTTCATAAACTGACCAAGCAGAATATTAGGAGAAACAAGACAGTCAAAATTTAAAAGCACCCCATTAGCCCTGTCTTCCCATTAGACCAGCCCTGAGGCTTTAGAGAGCCCTTAGGTCCCTGGCTTCATTAGGAAGGCAGATGGACCCATCAGAGGGGTTAATAGCAGCCAGCAATGCCCCTGACAGGGTCTGGTTCTAGATATTGACCCATCAGACATGGTCATGACTTTGAAAACTGAAGGCACTGACTTTTGATGGTGGATAAAAACAAGGTAACATCTAAAATTATGTTAGGATTTAAGCTAAATAACTGAGACATAAAACTCAAAATAGGGGAGCAGCAGCTGTTTATCAATTATTGCCTCCCTGAACTAATGAAGGTACTCATGGCATGGATTATGCACCCAAAAAGAAGCATTTCAAAATATTCCTAAATTATTTTATTAACGAGGCAATATGAAGAAGATGGTTGACATATACATAGGGGGGTGTGTGTGTGTGTGTGTGTATGTGTGTGAGAGAGAGAGAGAGAGACAGACTTCTTGAGAGTCAAGATAAAGATAACATCAGAGTTACATGGATATACTGGAATTACATGTGTTCTTCCTATTTCTGACCAACTGTCTTTGGCCTATCAATGTCTGTACCTTGCTACCTAAACCCTCAACAAACCATATTTATTTCTGCTCCCACACTGTGGAAACACCAGCGGTTTGGTTCCAGCTGCTGCTTTTATTAGACGACCGGTGGCTATTTCCCATCCCAGACTAACAGCTCTTATTCCACTCTCACAAGATAGCTCAGGAAATAAAAACTTTCCAAATCGATGGTGACTATGTCTGCATGGCCTTTGGCTTCCCCCACAGTACAGCTTCCATGAGCTGCTAACAAGTCAATGTTCATAAATATGCAAAGAGAGCATTTATCTTCCTGATTAATTAATCCAGCAAATTATCCAAATGCTTGCCTATGAGCACTCCCGCCCCATGGCTCCTGCTCTATCCACCATTTCCCCACCTCTGTTAGCCCTTTTCCTGCCTAGCATTGGGCAGGACATAATAAAAAGCGCCCCTGGTCTAGAACGCTCATAGCTTCCTCAACAGGCTGCCTAGGAGATGTTCATCAATTCCTCATGCACTTTTAAACTTTAATAATGAGGAGTGTAGACTTCTATGAATAATTGGAAGATGGAATTTGAAAAGCATTTTCTCTTGCCCATTAAAATTTAGGACAGCCATATCGTACATCAAGCACAACGGACTCGTTTCACACTGACAGACAACCAGCTGTCCCTAGCAAGGGATTCAATTTACATTTACACACCGTGCCTGGGGAGTGACAAAAGCTCTCTGCATTATAGAAGTTTTAAGTAGTTGAGGTTAAGCTGGTGAATTTTAGAAGGTGTTTGTGATTAAAGTGCAACACGGTGGGGAGCGGCTGACCCCTGACTGCAGCCCGCAAGCAACCCCATGCCGCCCAAGGGCCCAGCTCGGCTGTGGGGAGTCCCCACCACACTGACATCAGAGAGGTTTCTGTTTTAAGTCGCTAAAAAAGAAAACTGAGTGAAGGTTTTGTTGAGCACCCACACACACTTCTGGGCAGGTATATGTTCTCCTTCTCTTCCTTTTGCCTCTCATTTTTTCCAGCTTGATAGCAACTAACTATGAGCAAGGGGACCAGACCTACCCACAGCAGACTGCAGTCACGGCCAGCTCTCTTCCTCAGCTCAAGCCATGACCCGGAAAATCCTCCCCAGTGAGTCTGCACGGCATGCACACGCATCCACACACACACATGCACACAAACACACACATACACATAATACACATGCTACGTGTGCACACAAACATTCCTGCATGCGTACTCACACAATCATACACATGCACATACATGCACACCATTTAGTCTTCTTGGAGGAAAATTACTTTAAGAAAATACCAATTTATTTTTAAATAAATTCAACCGTTAAACTCAACTGTTAAAGAGGAAGGCAGCTGTGGTCACATGGCAAATGTGGTCGCGTGGAGCGGGCACCAGAAGCCCTCATACTCCACACCAAGACATTTAAAAAACCCGTTAGGCTCCTTACCTCTACGACCTTCCTCCCCCACACCCAGCCTAATCATGAGAAAAACCTCAGACAAATTTCAATCGAGGAATAGAGGACAATATACAGGACCAATACTCCTCAAAACCATCAAGGTCATCCGAACACAGACAAGTCTGTCACAACAGAGGGGAAACTAAGTAAACATGACAACTAAGTGAAATGTGGGATGGGATCCCAGGGCAGAAAAGGACATTGGGTAAAAACTAAGGGAATCTGAATAAATGACCAACTCCAATTAATAACAATGTATTGATAGTAGCTCCCAAACGGTACAAACGTAATCCACTAATGCAAGCTGTTAATAACAGGAAACGCTGGGTTAGGAAGAGGGTACATGGGAACTCGCTGTTCTGATCAATTTTCCTATAAAACTGTCTGTCCTTAAAAAGAAAATCCATTCTTTTTTTAAAAATATTTTATTTTATATAATTCTTACATCTTTTTTCATCTTTGCACAATGTATGCATTTTCATTTTGGTTATATTCCCCATACAATTGCACCCCCCTTATTTTGACTCTAGTCCTTCCTTTCCCCGCCTCTCCCTCCCCCACCCCACCCCAGTGTGTCTCTGGTTTATAGTTGCTTGTTGATGTTGATTTTTACTTTGTATTGATTAGTCTTTTTCCTGGTCTCTTATTTAGGTTTTCCAAATATTCTTTAAAAATATCGGCTGGTGGGCCTCCCCTGGTGGTGCAGCAGTTGAGTGCTAGGCTGCCGGGCTGCCTGCAGCCTCTGCAGTGCTGGTTCGTTCCTCGGCCTCAGGCGAGGGTCCCACAAAAAAAAAAAAAAAAAAAAAAAATTGGATGGTTTCACTTACAGGAGGACTATAAGGGAACCAAATAAGAGGTCAGGAAATAATAATAAATAAAACAAAATTAAGAGGCGGAGCGCGGGTCTCTGCAGGCCAGGGGCACGCCCAAGGGCGGGGTGCACCTTGTCCGAGTCCAGCTCCGGGTCCTCCTGGCAGCAGAGGCAGCAGAGGAACGACTTGGGCTCCCAGCCTAGGGTCTGTCTGGTGGTCACGAAGATCTCAAGATGGCTGGGCGAAAACTTGCTCTAAAAGCCATTGACTGGGTAGCTTTTGGAGAGATCATCCCCCGAAACCAAAAGGCTATTGCCAACTCCCTGAAATCCTGGAATGAGACCCTCATCTCCAGGTTGGCTACTCTCCCTGAGAATCCCCCTGCTATCAACTGGGCTTACTACAAGGCCAATGTGAAGAAGGCTGGCTTAGTAGATGACTTTGAGAAGCAGTTCAAGGCCCTGAAGGTTCCTGTACCAGAGGATAAATATACTGCCCTGGTGGATGCTGAAGAAAAAGGAGATGTGAAAAGTTATGCTGAGTTTTTGAACCTCTCAAAGGCCAGGATTGAAGAGTACCAGATAGAGCTGGAGAAGATAAAGACCATAATTCCTTTTGATCAGATGACCATCAAGGACTTGAATGAAGTCTTCCCGGAAACCAAGTTAGACAAGAAGAAGTATCCCTACTGGCCGCACAAGCCCATTGAGAATATGTAAGGGCCTCCCCGGTGGCGCAGCGGTTGAGTGCTGGGTTGCGAAGCTGCCAGCAACCTCTGCAGTGCCAGTTCGATCCCCGGCTGCTCCCCGGCCACCAGAGGAGGGTCCCACATGGCGCGCAGGCCTCCCCTGCCGCCCGCTGCTCCCCTCAGCAGTGTACTTCGGTCCTTCTGCCTGCTCTGCTCCCCGCTCTGGCCCTGGTGAATTCTCTCACCCTCCCGCGCTTCTGACTTACCCAGTGCTTGTATAAATAAGTAAATAATAAATAAATCTTTAAAAAAAAAATTAAAAAAAAAAAAAAGAGAATATGTAAACTGGAGTCCAGGAGAAAGTTCTGGTTCTCCTAATTCTAAATATTAAAAGTAATTATTATAGTGTTTAAAAAAATAAAATTAAATTAACAGGCAACTATAAAAGAGACATTCTGCAGGGGAGTGGGAACGAGAGGGGTCAAAACAGGGGAGGGGAGAGCACAGCGGACTGTGGTGATGGTGCACGGGTGACCTGGTAGTGGGAATCTGACGGGGACCACACCTGAGAGGAGGAAGCAAACATTGTACAAAATGAACAATGATATAAAATATAATTTTTAAAAATCTGCTCTCCAAAAGTCTACTTATGAAAGCTGTTGATACCCACTAACCCAGCATGGAAGCTGGAGGACAGAGAATAAATCAGTCCTTTCCCCCGTGCACAAACACTGCGCCACATTTTAAATTGTGTCACGATAACCGCATCACCTCCTCCCCAGCGCCCGCCGGTGAGAAAGCCGAGATGGAAGAAGCAACTCGTGGCTTCCCCTTAAAGGCGAGCGTTTCTGGCGCTGGCGTTGAAATGGTGAGATGGGAACACCCAGTGAGAGCAGTATCACACCCCCGGGACAGCTGACTGAGACGAGCATGTGTTTTTGGCTTCCTCTTCCTTTGAAAGTGTGTGAAAACAACTGATAGCAGAGACTTTGCTCAGAAGCCAGTTGGCCACAAGAAATCTGAGGGGTTTGGTCTCAAATTCTGCTTGTTTTTGTAAATGGATACAGCTCAAGGATCTCAAGCTCTGTGGCCAGGAGCAGGGCTTCCTGTTTGGGTGCTGCCCCCTTGGTTCTGTTGCCCTGGTTGGTGCTGAGGGGAGGCATGTGGTGGGAGGTGGCAGCACAGACGCTGTGGCACACAGACCCGGCGTAGTGTTCTGGCTTTGTCACATATCCTTAGTTACCTCATTATTTTACCTCTCCATATCCGTTCCCCCCACCACAGACAAGGAAACGCAATCAATGGGCACAGTAACAGTGTCCCCTGCACAGGGTTGCACGGAGGACCAACACTATTTTTTGTGTGAAGCATTCACTCATACGCAACAGAGCATAGTGGCTAAGGGCTGGAACTCAACCAACTGCCACGGCTTGAATCCTAGCCACTCTACTAGTTTTGCGGGCTTAGCCAACTCATTCTCTCTGAGCTCAGTCTCCTCATTTATAAAATAGGCTAATAATAAAAACTAAGATTTGTTCTGCTTTCCTTCCCAGCCCAAGGCCTCTCCCTCAACCATGCTCCACCAGATGCTCAGTCAGGCCAACAAGCATCCCGGCCCCTCTTTATCGACTGAAGCCGGAGACACTGGAGCAGCACTATATGTCATGCGTTTGGCTTTGTTCAATCTAGACATCAGCTGGAACAGAAAGATTAACCCAGAACCCTGGCACACACTGGATCGCGATGATCAATACAAGTTCCTCTCAGTCAATGAAGACAACAGCAAACTGCAGAAGGAACATGCAGACTCTAAATAAAATCTTTCACTATAAAGCTGCTTAAAACAAAGGTCTTTCAGAAGCCATCAGCATGTGGTTTTCCCTTAACCAGGAAACACTTCCCCTCAAAATGCACAAAATCAAGTTGGTATACTGTGTTGGGGTTTACACTGATTAATAAATATCTGAAACTTGAAGATAATAACAAAACTATCTCACAGAGTTACTATGAGGAGTAAGATTTATCCACAATGTTGCATATAGTTGGAGTTTATTCATTCGCACTACTGTATAATAGTCCCTTTTGTCAATATTCTGACTTAATTTTCTGTCATATTCTTGATAAATTTGTTTGCAATTTAGGGCTATTACAAGGACTGCTGCTATGAAAGTCCTTGTACATATCACTTAGTGATAATACGTTTATAATTTCCAGATCAGATGAAATTATTGGGTAACAGAGCACCCTTAACAGATAATGCCAATCAGTTTTCCAAAGGAGTTGTTCCAAATTAAATCCCTACTAGCAGTCTATGAGAATTCAGTTGCTGCTGAGCAATAGTTGGTATTTTCTGACATTTTACTGTTAGCTATTCTCGTGAGTTTATAGCACTATCATTTTGTAATTTCAAACTTGCATTTCTCTAGCGACAATAAAGTTGAACACCTTCTCATTTGTTCATTAAACATCATGTCTGGCATATAATAAGTATGGAAAAATGTTAATCGCTGTTGTTATATGGTACCAAAGCATAATTTTTCAGATGGGGACATGAGCAGAGATTTCTGGAAGCTTCTAAACATTTTGTACTCTCTTGGTCCACCTTTTATGCCCTGTGCATGTCTTTCTCCATGCTTCCCCCTCTCCTGACTAACTTCTCTATATAACTCTCCTTGACTCTCTCAGAGTTCAGATGTGCTGAGAAAGAGGAGCTCAAAGTCAGGTGAGACTTCTGTCTTCCACCCCAAACAGGTTCCCACCCTTGCTCAGATATGTCCGGTCTAAGGACAGAAAGGACGCAAGTGATCAGGTCCCCAGACTTGACCTCCTTCTACCTCGTTCCTGATGAATGGTTCTAACAACTTCCTCATTATTATGGCCCCTGGTCCAAGTCAGACTTGAATCTTTAATGTTTTCTGCTAGAAAAGATGCATCACTTGGTTTTTAAGATGCACACACAATTCCACTTGTGAAGTCAGTATCCTGAAGGGCAGTTAATGCATCAAGCCACAAACCTCTGAGGAAAATTCCATGATGTTCCTAAAATAAGAAGACAGTTAAGTGCTACCCTTAGTTCACCCCTTCCTGGTAATGTCCAGGAAAAAGGAGGGAAATGGCATGGTGTAGTTGGGAATGGAGGTGCATCCTACAAGAGCTTGGAAAAGAGAGAAAAGGAAGGCAGTTTAATGATGTCAAAATCTTTTTATCCCCTTTGAATAAAACAATATGTATTATGTAATGTAATCGGTACAATTTTCTTCTCTACGGAGCTGGGTTAAGAATTCCTTTTAGATGAAAATCACCTTTGTTGAGAAAATGTCTTGCAATAAAATTTGCGCTCCCTGTAAGCAAGGACCTTGGGCAATGGAGATACTCTGGATAAGGCAACAACAAATTTGATGATGACAACAGAGACTGAAGGAAAAAGAAAGAGAGGAATGCTAAGAAGCCAAAGAGGTAGCTAAAAGCTCATCAGAGGAATATGTAACCCCTTAAATCTTCAGGAAAATTGTTTCCTTCAATGAATGCATAGTGAAAGTGAATTTTGGGGACGGGGGGAATTCATGAAAGAACTAACTTTTGCATGTAGATCAAAATGGGGTAGAAATGAGAAAATCTGAACCCACAAAGAAGGGCAGAAAAGATTAACTGGAATTAGTAAAAATCGTGGTGAGGGCCTAGGACAGTCAAGCTTGGAGTGAGCCACGGCTGCAGTCTCTGCAGGGCTTTCCAGTGTTAGCAGTAGAAGCCTGGATCCCAAGAACTGCCTCTGCCCCGGCAAACTCTAGCCAGGCTGTGAAACTGAGGACTGAATTGTTTACCTAAACTCGCTAAGCCAGGCAGGGCTCAACTGACAATTGAATTACAATTAAAACGGCACATATGGGCCTCCCCTGGTGGCGCAGCGGTTGTGCGCTGGGCTGTGAGGCTGCCTGCAGCCTCTGCAGCACCAGTTCAATCCCCGCCCATCGGCGAGGGTCCCACAAATAGATAGATAGATAGATAAATAAATAAATAAATAAATAAATAAATAAATAAATAAAATGGCACATACTATTCAACCTGAGGTTTCTGAGTATGACAACTACCCACAAGCAAACATATACACAGACACAACAACACCCAAAATTCACTTTCACTATGCATTCATTGAAGGAAACAATTTTCCTGAAGATTTAAGGGGTTATATATTCCTCTGACATTAACATAAGTGCTTCCTGGGCCTGCTTGGTGGCACAGCAGATTGAGTGCTGCACTGTGAAGCTGATCGTAGTATCTGCAGCACGGGTTCGATTCCCAGCTGGCCAGGGAAAAACCCACTTGGCGCAGCAGACCTCTCCTGTCTCACCCGCTGCTCCCCTCAGCAGTGTCTTTGGTCCATCTGCCTGTTCTGTTTCCCACTCTGTCTCTGATAAATTCTCTCACCCTCCAGCATCTCTGCCTGTACCCCAGTTCTTGTATAAATAAATAAATCTTTAAAAAAAAAAATAGGGCCTCCCCTGGTGGCACAGGTGTTTGAGCACCGCACTGTGAGGCTGTCCGCAGCCTCTGCAGCACGAGTTCGATGCTGGCTGGCCAGCGAGGGTCCCACATGGTGGGGCAGACCTCTCCTGTCTCGCCCGCTGCTCCGCTCAGCAGTTTGCTTCATCAGTCTGCCTGCTCTATTCCCTGCTCCGTCTCCAGTGAATTCTCTCACCCTCCCATGCATGGGGCCTGTGCCCCAGCACTTGTATAAGTAAAAAATAAATAAATAAATCTTAAAAAAAAAAAGTGCTTCCTGATACATCTGGTCAATACTAAGTTTTCACTATGTTTTACTCAAGAGCTGACTTTTTACATTGAGGAAAACCCACAGCTTGGTCTCAGCTCCTGTCCAAACCCAGGAAATAGCTGTCTTTCCACTGGAAGATATTTGTTCTGATCCTGTATTTTTATGAGGAAGAGAACAAGCCACAGAGCAAGAGGTTCCCTCCTGGGGCTTCTCTCTTCCCCGCTTTCCCTTCCCATATGCACACAACACGGACAAACTGA